AACCGTTTTTTGCTATGATGATTATTTTTTGAGATATGGTAAGTTAAATATTTTTTTGTTGTCCCCCCCGCCCGGAATTTGCTTAAGTCAATCTCTCTGGTTTATTTTTTTCAGTTTTATTCTAGGAAGGCTGATAATCTAGCAAAATAGAAAGCTTAATGTTGTCAAAAATCGTATGGTTTTAGAAATTTGATTTTCGGCTTTGTTACGATGGTATTAACAGTAAAAAAGCGGGTGACGTCACAGGTTATGACTTGACAAAACTAGTTTTAACGCAATAACACTAGAGGGATAATTTTTTATTCCCATTTTCTTCTTTATTTTTGCTTTGGTCATCTGGGACATCACATGTGCAACATAGCTGCATTTGCTGGAACAAAAATACAGCTGCAATTTGGGGATTTTTTTTCAAGGGGGGGAACCCATATTTTGCAGAGTTATTTTTCATATTTAAAAATGCCATATTTCATTTGATTTTTGTGATATGGACAAAATTTTTTCAGGTTTCAACTCCCTTTGATGTGCTCTTTCGAACACATTGTAAAATATATGCATATTAAAATCTTCAAAAGTGGCAAAAAACGTGACGTCATCACTGTGACGTCACAACTTTGATATTTACCGACAGTTTTCACGTAAATATAATTGGCAATAGGTCTCCTGCTCATCTGCCAAGTTTGGTGTAGAAAGGGTCAATACTTTTTAAGTAATGCGAAATAATGTGAAATACCCAAGAACTTAAGAAACATTTTGGGGGATGGTTTGGCCCCTACGTGTTTGTCGGTTGAGCTTTGAATTTTAGAGTCCGCATGTTATTGAAAGGCGCAGTAAACACGTCGAGTTGAAAACTTCGGTTTCAACAGATTGCAAACATTTGGGGACAATGTTTCTTACTTAACATATTTACAAACCAACACAACAAGAACGTTAACTGACAAAATAGCTTTTAAAATTGCAATTGGATGCCTGTAATTGGAATCCCTCTTGATCTCGCGACACTGGGTTATGCTACAAACAGTCCTGCAGAGAACTAATCAAGATGAAGAATTTTTATGGGGGTACGCTATAAATAAATAACGCTATAAAGAAAAAAATTTATCATAATATATAATAACAGTTAATTGTGATTTTGTTTTCAGCGACACCGAACATTGTGAAGGATTTTCCACCAGAGGAAACGACCAAAAACAACACCAATGTGATTGTAATCGTCCTCGTCTTACTGGCCATTCTTATTTTGATAACCTTGATCGTATTTTACATCATGTATGTCCGACGTCGGAAATTTAAAAAGCAAGGTAATTCCTCTAGCACCATACAGCTCTTTACCAT